GAAAAAGAAAAGCAAGCACCTTAACAAAATAAAAAAGAAATACTCTGTTACCCCAAAGAGCCTCATCATGCTACTCAAAACTAAGTTCTTTTTTAATTTTAGAGAAACTGGATATTTTATTAGGTAGTAGAATCTTTGTCATATATTTTTTAAAAAGAATCCTTACAGGGCTGGTGAGATGGCTCAGTGGTCTAAAGCACTTACTTAGAACAAGCTTAGCAAAGCACAGGGACCACGGTTCAATCCCCCAGCACCACATGCCAGCCAGCCCCGCCCCCTGGTGGGCTGAGCTGGCCACACACATAAATAAAGAAAAGAAAAGAAAAGAAAAGAATCCTTACAGGCCTGTTGGGTCTTAGCTGCACAGAATACTGATCCTCATCTGTTGCCCAGTGTGAGGAGTTATACATGTTACTAGAGGCAAATGCTTGGGATCTGGCTCGCTGAAGCCTCCTGTAGCCCCTGAGAGCTGGGAACTGTGAGGGTGAGGGGCAGGGAGATGGCTCAGTAGAATAAGCTCTTGCTTATTTACAAGTGAGGGTGAGGGGCATTTACAAGTGAGGGTGAGGGGCAGGGAGATGGCTCAGTAGAATAAGCTCTTGCCTGGCAAGCGCTAGGGCCTGAGTTCGATCCCTGCTTCTGCCAAAAGAAAAACAAAAAAGAATGGCAAAGTGCAAGTGAGGGTGCCTTGTACTTAATAATAATTCTGCATTAACATAGTGCTGGTACTTAATATTGTGTCAATGCTACAGCTGTTTATTCTGCATCATACACAGTGTCAACAAAGTATTCTCTTTCTCTTAATCTCGTTAGAGATTCAGTTGTGGAAATTCTTTTTGAACAAGATAATGAAGAGAAATCAGTTGCCACATTAATATTGGATTCTCTTCTGCAGGTATTTTACTTTGTGAAAAGTTTGTCTTTTAAAGAAAAATTTGGAATTTTTTTCTATATTTTCCTTGTGTATTGTTTTTAAGGTTTTACAAAGACTTGCAGGGAGTTTTCTTGTCCATTTTTAAATCCCTTATCCCACGAACTAGTCCTCTTGAATTTTACTATCTTGTAATTCCTTTTCTGATGTTTTGTTTTGTTTTGAGACATGGTCTCACTATATCTAGGCTGGCCTTGAATTTCTTTTGTACCCCAACTGGCCTCAAATGCTCAGCAGTCCTCCAGACTCAGCCTTGGATTACACTTGTGTGCCACCCCCTACCAAGACATTATTTTACATTTTATTAGTTTTCTTGTTGTTTAAGTTAATGAGTTTTACTTTAGCTATGAGATATGACACCTACGTTCATATATATGAAAAAGCATTACCATGGATAAATGCATTTTTTTTTCAGAACAGGGTTATCAGATTTTTATATTATACTTAGGTAGCTTGTGGTTCCTTCTAATTTGGCTAGTGTGGAATTTTAGACTGCGTGGGGCTCAGCCAGGTGCAGTAATGTGTGCCTGTGGTCCCCGCTGCTCCACAGGGTAGCAGGACGGCCTTTGAGCCAAGGAGTTTGAGGCCAGCCTAGGGACCATAGTGAGATTCCATCTGCAAATGAATAAATTCCACGGGGCATCTGATATGTCCCTTTTGTTTAGTGACCACGTAACAGATCTATCTGAAATACCATCACATTGGAAGATACTGTCCACCTCTAGGGCTCCGCTCAGTGAAAGACTTTATCATTCCTGATTCTTAGAATGGAAATGTAATTTATCTTCCGACTCAGCAACTTGCTCTGGGCATAATAATGTAAAAAACTTAAGTTTCTACCTATGTCCCTTTGCCAAGAGTTACTTTTTTTATGCTCTTCGCCTAACTCAAGTCATTCTGCTTTGAAAAGACATACTATTACAGTTATGTGGCTGGGAGATTTAAGATACTACAATATGAGATTTTTCTAAGTATTTGAAAACAGAAAAAAATCTTTTTTTTTTTTTTTTTTTTTTTGACTGGCTCAGGATGCCTTCAGGGCAGGTCTGGCAAGGATTGAGGGCTTAAGGATACGGGACTCGAACCACAGCATCCTGAGCCTCACTGCTTTGTTGGAGCACTCAGTTAAACTCTTCAACAACTGAGCTAATGGGCAGGCCCCCCAGAAAAAAATCTTTCAAGTGCTTTTTTTTCTTTCTTCTTGTGTCTCTCTGTGTGAATCCTCTTATGGTGGTTACATGACAGAAACCTGGCAGGAGCCTGTTTTGTAATACAAATAGCAACCTGCCTGATCTGTACTACATACCTGTGTACATTGTCTTCAGTTGAGCTATGTATCTAATTAAGGATAATTTTTTATTCCTTTTAATACAGTGCCCAATAGACACCAGAAAACAACTTGCCGAGAACTTGGTAGTCATAGGTGGCACATCTATGTTGCCAGGATTTCTCCACAGGTTACTTGCAGAAATAAGATACTTGGTAGAAAAACCAAAATACCAAAAAGCACTTGGCACCAAAACATTCAGAATTCATACTCCACCTGCAAAGGCTAATTGTGTAGCCTGGTTGGGAGGTAAGAATGGAATTTTGTTCTGTTTTGTTTTGTTTTTTTCTCTTTTTTTTTTTTTTAAATTTTTATTTATTTATTTATTTTGTGTGTGTGTGTGTGTGTGTGTGTGTGTGTGGCCAGCTCAGCCCACCTGGGGACGGGGCTGGCTGGCATGTGGTGCTGGGGGATTGAACTGCGGTCCCTGTGCTTTGCTAAGCTTGTTCCAAGTAGGTGCTTTAGACCACTGAGCCATCTCACCAGCCCGTTTTTTTCTCTTTGAGACAAGTTCTTGCTATGAAGTTCATGCTGGCCTTGATCTCACTTTGTAGCTTTGGATGGTCTCAAATTTACAACAGTCCTCTTGCCTCAGCTTCCTGAGTGTTGAGATTATAAACATATGCCACCATCCTTGGCTTAGAATTAAGTTTTTAAAATACAAAATTTTTTTTCTTTGCGGAACCGGGGATTGAACTCTGGCGCTTGAGCTTGCCAGGAAAGCGCTTATTCCACTGAGCCATCTCCCTGGCCCTAATATACAAATATTATATTTGTCTGTTTCTGAAGGATATTACTTGAGTGGCCTTATTAAAATAGAGGATTAAGTGCTCAAAACTGTCCACTTAATAAATTGAACTATTGGGCTGCGGAGATAGCCCAGAGGCATAAGCACCTACCTGGCAAGCACGAGGTCCCAAGTTCAATCCCTGGCCCCTGAACCCTGGGCACCCCGTGTTGGCCCTGGAACTGAGCATGGTGGCAAACACCTATAATCTCAGCACTTGGGAGATTGAGACAGGAGGATTGCTAGAAGTTCAAGATAGCCTGGGGACTACAAAAAGTGAGCACAAGGCCAGCACGAACTGTGTAACGAGACCCTGTCTCAGAAACATAAATACATACATACATACAAACTTGGCCAGAGTGCTGGCACGCACCTGTAATGCCTTTAAAAAAAGAAGACTGCCTTATCCATCATGTCTTTCTAAAGTCTCTAATATAGAATTTTAGGGCTTCAAAATGCTGCTTATTGGGTCCGGGGAGATGGCTCAGTGGAATAAGCGCTTCCCTGGCAAGCGCAAGGGCCTGAGTTCAGTCGCTGGTTCCATCAAAAAATAAAAAATAAACAGGCTTGAGTGGTATTACGTGTTCTGAAATTTAAAAAAACAAAAAAAAAAATGCTGCTTATTAATTTTACAGTGCCTTTTTTTTCCCCATGTGTTTGGCACAGGGTCTCACTACACAGCTGGAACTCATAGTGATCCTCTTGTTTTCGGCCTCTCTAGTGCTGGGATTACAGGCATGCACCACCATGCTCGACTCATTCACCAGCTCAGTGCACCCCGGGGGTGGGACTGGTGTGGCACACAGTGCCATTTTGTTGACTGACATGTAACCATAGAGTTGCGGCAAAGAAAATTTAGTGTCCGATCTGATTGTGTTTGCACGAAGTTGTCCGCGTCTTCCACACCACTGTACCTTCCAGGAACAGTAACCTGTGGTGCCGTGTTCACCAGTTCACTTACCTCTGATCCAGGACTTCTGCCTTCTCCCCTTCCTGAAAACCAGTGCAGTGAGTCTGAAGTGTGAACAGGCTGAATCGAGCCACCCTTCGTGTAGTGGGTGTGTATATACTTAAAGCTTTCTGGTACAATGGTCTCATCTTTGCTAATTACTTTTACCACACAGGGGCTATTTTTGGAGCACTGCAAGATATACTTGGGAGCCGGTCAGTTTCAAAGGAATACTATAATCAGACAGGCCGCATCCCTGATTGGTGCTGCCTCAATAATCCGCCTTTGGAGATGATGTTTGACGTTGGAAAAGCCCAGCCACCGCTGATGAAGAGAGCATTTTCCACTGAGAAATAAAAGTTTGATTACATACAAGTTTGTTTCACTTCAAATAGTTCTAAGCAAACTGAAGAATGTTTGTGGGGTGCTCTAGTATAGACAGACCACTTCAGTGGAAGTAGAAGCTTCTCTTCATTTGCCTTTGCTTCTCTTGTATTTATATCAATAAAAAATAAAACAAATTTAAACAGTTTATTTTGGGGTATTTGTTACATAGTTCAACTTTCAAAAAGAAGATGCTTCTCCCTCTGTATAGGATCTGTCCTGGCGGTCTCCCACTACAGTGTAGTTGCATTAAGCTTCCCTTCTGGATGTTTGACAGCTGAGGTTCAGAGACCGAACTAAACAGGACAACCAGTCTTTTCTCCCTGGCCCACCAAGGACCCAGGACGTGAGGGACCTCTTCTGTGACATCCGATAACTGGATGAGATCCTGTGCTGACCAAGAAGATTGATGGATCACAAAGGACAAAAGTCAGTGATACATAGTATGCCAGAAGAGTCACCAGGAAATGTCTCCCATGCTTTCATAAAAACCTGGCTTAGGGGCTGGAGAGATGGCTCAGTGGTCTAAAGCACCTACTTGAAACGGGCTTGGCAAAGCACAGGGACCGCGGTTCGATCCCCAGCACCACATGCCAGCCAGCCCCGCTCCCTGGTGGGCTGAGCTGGCCACACACACACACACACACAATAAATAAATGTAATAAATAAAAATAAATAAATAATTAAAAAAAAACAAAAAACAAAAACCTGGCTTAGCAAGGACTGACTCACCTGGTGGCTGACACAGAAGAACTGAGGCTCTATGTGTGGTTCCAAGTTAGGTCCTGAGGAGGTAGCAAGAGGTCAGCTTTTAGGGTGCTGGGGAGATAGCTCAGTAGAATAAGTGCTTGCCTGGCAAGTACAAGGACCTGAGTTCAATCCCCAGTTCCATCCCCCCACCCCAAAGAAAGGGCGGATTTTTTTTTGGGGGGGTGAGAGCGGCTTTTTTTTTTTCTTTTCAAAGTTTTATTCATAAACATATAGCAATGAGACAGTTTCAAATCAAATCGAAAAAAGGGCGGATTTTTAACACAGGTCCCATTTTAGTCTTAAACACCCAACAGAAAAGCAAAATCAAAAGATACAAACTTTTGTTGACTGCCTCCATGCCCTCTAAAGTAGTAGCTCTTCACTGTAAAAGGCACCACGACTCCCATATATATATAATTTTTTTTTTTTTTTTTTTTCCCAGAGCCTGCAGGATCACTCAGTGTACTAAAGTGCCTGCTTAGGCAAGCGCAGGGTCCACACTTCAATCCCCAGTACCACATGCCATGCCACAGTCTGGGTGGTTGCACACGCCTGTAATCCCATCACTGGGGAGGCTGAAAAGGGATCGCTGAGTTCAAGCTGTGTAGTGAGACCCTGTACCAAATACATTAAAAAAAATGTACTCCAAAATTAGTTAAACTAGACATTGTAACAAAAAAATACTTGTGCCATTTTAAAAACTTAAGTGCTGGGCTGGCGAGATGGCTCAGTGGTCTAAAGCACCTACTTAGAACAAGTTTAGCAAAGCACAGGGACCGCGGTTCAATCCCCAGCACCACATGCCAGCCAGCCCCGCCCCCTGCTGGGCTGAGCTGGCCACACATACATACATATATACATACATAAAATTTTAAAAAATAATAAACTCGTAAACCTACATAAATTTTAAAAAAAAAAAAAACTAAGTGCTAAATAAATAAATAAAAAGCTAAATGCTATATGTACATTCCTGGTCTATGGTTATTTGAGATACCAAAATGTCAAGTTAAAAAAAAAAAAGGGGGGGGGCCTGGCCCTAGCTCAGGCCTTTAAGTGGCTGCTTCCACAAAGCTGTCAGCCTCAGGTTGCTGGAGTTCGAACCTCACAACTCTCCCACTGGCCA